CGAGTGGAAAGGAGACACTAGAGTCCACAGAGGCACGTGTCTCATTAGGCTCAGGTCAGGATACGTCTGTTCTTCTGTCGAGTCTTGTGGCCCAGAACAAGAAAGCAGAGACAACTAAAAGATGTAAAAGAAACCATGTTTGTTGTTGTGTATGTTTAGTATCTAATTCGTTTAACATGTTGCCATTTTCACAATGTCAGTTTGTACCCTAAATATTAGAGTTAGGCAGGAATTCAGGGTTTTGATTGGTTTTACCTCATTTTAATGTAAGCCAGCTTGATGACACGGCTAACCACAAAAAGTTACATAGGACCCCATTCTCCTAAAAATCGGAGTTGGGTTATGGTAAATTTTAAAAACACATGGGTGTTTTATAGAAAAATAAATTCAGACTAAACAGAATACCTAAACACAAAACAAAGCTCAAATCTCTTCTTCAACTTGCCATTAGTGGTGGCGCGAGAGATGGAACGCCACATCTACAGACAATCTCTCCTCCCCTGTGCCAACTATGTAAATACAACACTTGACTTGATTACAGATGCAGTATTTACTGCTTTTTCTGTCTTTCCAAGACCTTAATTTCCCCATGCAGTCTGATTTCCCATAAATACAGCAGGAGTAGGACTGTAATTAGGGCCTATATTTACACCACCTGACTAGTGGATAACCAGCTCGGAGCTGGCAGCAGGGATGAGCTGACGCTACTCAAATGTGCTGCCTGGAGTGGAACCAGGACAGCAGGGTACACACATGTAAAACACTACAAGAGGTTCATATTGTTAAAAATGTATATACTGTATTTTAAAAACCTTTGACGTGTCTTCATTCTGAGATCTAAACTGGACTGCGACGAATGCACTAGAAGTAATTTTGTGTTTTTTGCGTATCACAATTCTGTAATAATTTAAGGGTACTAATATATAAGTATGAACCTTTATTATCCATCCATCTATCCATTATCTTTACCTGCTTTTTCCTTTTTGGGTCGCAGGGGTCATGTCCAGCTATCACTGTGCGAGAGGCGGGGTACACCCTGGACATGTTGCAAGTTGCAGTCGTAAGCACGCACACTTTTTGCCACCCTCCCCTTGGGCAGAAGGTTGAGGCGCATAAAGTGCAGAACCACTAGACTGAGGAACAGCTTCTACCCTGAAGCTGTTAGACTCATGAATTCCTAATCAGGATAATCACTGTGAAAAAAAAAAAAATCACTGTAATGCCACTTTGATTGTTGATATGTGCTGCTGATTATCCATGCTGCTGATCTAATGCTGCTGATTTATTTCATGCTGCTGTTGTTCGGCGCATTACCTGTATTGTTGTCATTATTAAGTGTTTAGCGTATTCTTTGTTCATATCTTAGATCTTATTACCGTTTTTCTTTACAATTTATACTTTTGTTGGATGTAACTGGGACCCTGTGTACACAATTTCATTCCAACACACGTACCACATGCGAAGCGAATGAGAATAAAGAACATTGACCTTGACGTTCATCACAGGCATCCTCATTACTATTAAGTTTATTTTCAGGTCAGTCACTGTAGTCAGGGAGTGACAGACACAGGTGAGTGTGGTTTCCATGGTGATTATAATAAGCCATTGTCTACAGCTTTAACATTTATTTAGCTCTTGGTTTTCTTTACACTATGAAAGTACAGGCACTTTTTCCAACAGATAAGCTAGAACTTTGGGCAGTAGTTGCTTTGACACTGTTCACATTTTGCTGTTCACTTGCTTAAATAATCCTTACCTTTCACTGTAGGGGATTTTAAACTGGAAAAAAAAAAGTAATCTCTGTCTGAATTTAATAAACTCCAGTCTTCTATAGACATTTGTCTCTAAAATATTATCAGAGATGAGTTGTGGCTTCTTGTAATGAGAACAAATAACTGCAGCTATTGCAAAAAGCCAAACAAACCTCCTAGTACGAGTACAGATTCAAAAAGTTGGGCCATTTCTCTGCCACTCTCAATTTAATTTGTGGCCACGTTGACCTTGCCCTGTCATTACATACAACCTTTAACAACAAACAGATCAGAAGGCAAAGTGAAGAAAGTGCTTCAGAGGTTCTTCACATCATGCACAATAATAACGTTGCTAAATCTCCTTGCAACCACATGACAAGTGCTGTCTTATGTTGCGTTTTATTTTTGTCTAACAGCTTTTTGGGTCGGGTTCTTCATCACAATAAAAGGCCTGCCTTTTTAAGCGTGTTTAGGATTCATCGCCGCTCCCTGTCAGCCACTCTTCAGTAGATTGAGTGCTAATATGAGCTTATGCTGCTCCCCCATTCTCCAGAGACAGTCACACATCTGAAAACTGTCACGGTGAGGTATTCCCAATCTGCTCTCAGAGGCCTTCCAACCAAAACCTCTCATCGCAGGCCTTTGTGCATGTCAGAAACTCTAAGGGAGGAAACTAAGAGAACACAAAACCAGAGGCCAAAGCAACCCTTTAATAACTTTGATCTTTGGCTTCACTTTTATGTTTTGAGGCCAGAAAGTCATGTGCTCTGTGGAGATTGGGGCAGTGTGCTGACTCACATCTGCTCAGTTTGGTCCTCAGCGTGGCAACAAAAGCAGGGATTAATCAGAAAAGTTGGAAAGAAGAGAACAGGAAAACATCCATCCATTCATCTATCCATTATCTTTACCTGCTTCTTCCTTTTCAGGTCGCGGGGTCACTGATGCCTATATCCAGTTATCACTGTGCAAGAGGCGGAGGACACCCTGGACAGGACACAAGTCCATCACAGGGACATAGAGACAAACGAGACAACATTTAACTCTCTCACTCACACCTAGGGACAATTTAGAGTTACCAATCAGCCTAACATGCATGTTTTTGATCTCGAGTACAAAGAGAAAACCCACACATGCATAGAGAGAACATGCAAACTCCACCCAGAAAGGCCCCCAGCTGGGATTTGATCGGGCGACATTATCTCTGAGAGGCAACAGCTCTACCAACTGAGCCACCGTACCGCCCAGGAGAACTACAAAATAACAAACTTGTTCACTTGCTCAGTGGTCCGTCAGTTTTCTGGTAATCCAACAAGTTAAAGCAATCTTTCTCACAACCGTTTTTTTAAATAGATAATATCTGATATCGACTACCTATAAAAAATAAAAACATAAAAGCATTAAAAATAACACAAGGAAAGATATGTACAAAAGAGTTTAAGCAAAAAATAAAAATAAAAACATTACATAACAAGCTCTTTTTTTTTGGACAAAGCCCAGTAAGCACCATGTGTTAAAATATATATATATAAAAAAACATGATAGGAATATCAATTCTTCAATTTAATGATTTGCAAATATTTTTTAGTATAAGACATTGTAGTAGTATTTTCTATTGGACATAATTCTGTTACAGAGACTTATCACTGTTTATTGATACAGTTCAGTTGGAAAGGTAAACATAATTTGTCTCCCAGGATCAATAATTCCTTAATAAACTGTTGTTGAATCACACACATCTTTTCTTGGGTTGCAGAAAAGTAGACAGCTCACTGCAGCCTAATCTTAATCTAAAATAAGTCATATGCTGAGGTGGAAAAATGCCTACAAAGTAACGTAACAATAAAAGTTCTCCAAACTCGTTTCACATTTAACTGTTGAAATGGCACAAAAAGAGACATAAATGACAAACAGCTGATGCTCCAATCAATATTATTATTGTTACTGATCATCAAAACTGGATGTTGTCATTTGTGGATGCTCTTTAAACTCTCGTTACACATCCGGTGTTGTGGTAACTTTTGTTTCCTCGTTTAGAAATAATGAGAACTGTCAGTGGTTTTGTTTTGAGAATGAAAATCAGGATTTCTAGTTTAACTCCATTTACTTTAATGAAATAGTGGTAAAAACTTGTGAACTGCTCAAAATATCCCTGTTTCCATTCAAGCATGCATTTGTTCTCTGCTGTCATCTGTGTATTAAAATTAAAAAATGGCAAAGATTTAGACAAAACTGCATGAAATTCTAACAGAGCATCCTTGCCACCAGTACCCAAAGTCACTGCTGAAGACAATCTTTGTGATTTACATGCCTCTTCAGGTAAATTTGTTTTGAATTACTCCAGGTCATTTGTTATTCAGAGTGGTAAAGGGACTTGAACAGCTTTGGCGACGATCAGAGAACAGAGCGCTCTTTAATTCAGAAACGTCAGCACGTCTTTCAGCGCGATCTCCCAAAGTTTCAAACACAGAATGCATGGCTGAGCCCGTACTGTAAACGCATAAAGGAGTTGACACATGTACACAGTGCACGAACACACAGTCGTTGTCATACGAGCTGAAGTGCCTTCCAGGTATTTCAGTGATGTGATTTTTAATATGCTGTGGCATGTCGTGTTTTTCTAGGATTCTTCATCTTTACAAACCAGGGAGCCCATGAGGCAGGCTGAGCATCGCTGTAATTAAAACACGCTGGGAGGTCCACGTCTAAAATGTGTGAGAATATTTGCTCTCTAATGCCTCTCATGGCATTCAGTACACCTCCTCTTCTTCTTTTCTCAACACTCAAACGCCCGACTACTCCACTTCCAGCTGCCAGTTAAGATGGAGTCCTATAGGCTCAGAAGTGGTGGCCACTGCTGTGAAATTTACATTAGAGACAAAAAAGAAGGAGCAGTCCACTGGATATTTGACTGGGATGGGTACCGTGGGAAGCAGGGACTGCACCACGTGCATTCATAAATCAATGCAGGATGAGTCACTGAGTGGTCAGTGGTGAGGATACTGTCAACATGTTTACTAAATGTAGCGTGGAAAAAGAAACTGCGCTCAAAGAAAATACTCAAAGAGCTCATTTTACCCATACTAGTATTTCTTTATGAAATTAAGACACAAAGTGACGTCTTTTACTGTAAACCAAACAATGAAAATCTAAAATCATAATTTAATGGGTCTGGTGCGTTCAAACCCCCCGCTGAGCAGCTGCCTGTTGTTTTGGAAGACTGGTAGTTTTTTTAACAAGAAGAAGACTTACCTGAACAGGTGTCAGCTGCGCTCTGGGATCAAACACTCGCAACATCTTGTCCTAGATGAATCCAAAAAAAAAAGTTTGAACATGAGGAAGGGGTTGAAATAATCAGCTATGATGCTAATGTGAACAACAGCAAGATCAATATGAGAAAAATATTAATGATTTTTTAACATTTTAAATTAGTATTTAATTGCTGTTAAATTATGTTTCTGGTTTAATCAATAATCTGTTTTCTATTTTTTTTGTCAAAATGTAGGTTGCAAATGACTTTCAGCTACTACCAGGTCCGATTTTAGCTCAGCCTCTGTTACATAAACAGTTCTTGTGCTGGCTAGAGTTGATTAGCTGTGGTGGCCATCTTGAATTAGATTTACTCTAAAATTTAATTAGTTGTGTGTGTGTGTGTATATATATATATATATATATATATATATATATTCTATGAATATTTCATAAAAGTTTCAGTAAAATAAGTTTCAATGAAATAAAATTCAATAAAAAGTTTCAATAAAATCCATGCAGTGGTTCATGAGATATTTTGGTAACAGAAAGTAAGAGTTGACTCCAAACAGTTGATGACTAAGCTTTTAATAAAGATCTTGCACAATCAATGCTACTAACAAACATTGAGGATCAGTCTCAGCTACTACCACATCAAATATTATAGCAATATCTGTAAAACTGACTGACTTATAACCTTTTTATGTGTTTTAAAGGTCAGTTGGCTGTGGCAGCCATATTGAATTATGCTCCATCCAGAAGTTGGTCAGTTGCAGATGTATATCCAGCAAATTTCATTGAAACCTGTCCAGAGGTTCATGAGCTATTTCGCTAACAGACAGGTACAAAAACACACAGACACAGGTAAAAACATTGTTGCCTTTTGACAGTGGGCTATAAATATTAGTGTGGCTTTACTTAGATGAAAATCACTGATGAAAAACAAGTATTTTTGAAGGGATTCCCAAGTCGTCATTTTTTTTAAATTTTTTTTTAATAAAAAGTAATTTAGCCAACTGATAAAAACGGATTTGGCTGATTTATAGTAGGTGAGATGTTTCTTTAACCTTATCAGTAGATGTCTAATGTTACACATGAAGAATACTTTTACTAAGAAGAATTATAGGAACAATCGAAACTCAAATGCCTTAAGTTCAGAATGAGAACTGTTTTAGGATCAGCTTTATTTTCAGTAACATTTTTGTAAACGGCAACTGAAGTTAAGTAGCAGTAACATCTGAGAGCAGCTGAGCAATAAGAGGTTTGTCACAAAGGAGGTCAGGGAGCACCTGCAACTTTAGGATTTTCAAGTTCCTTCAAAGTAAATGTGGAAGGAATTACAGGCTTCTCAGTTAGCTGCGTTATTTTCACCAACGCTGAATGGACAACCGAAATACTAAAGACACGTCTTGAAATAATTAACGGAGCCCCTTCACGTTTGTATTTCAGATAAAAACACAGCAAAGGTTCCTCATTTATCAGAGATCCCACCGATTCATCGTAGGCAAATGAAATCCAGTGACCTCTTCACGGCCTCGCTCGCCTTGACCCTGGCCCACCAAAACGCACATTCGGCATCAATCAAAGCAGCCAATCAGAGAGGCTCCCGTGTGATTGGAAGGAAACGGCACCTAATGGGATCAGGCTGTGCAGGACGAGTGTCTGCAGCCGTGTCACTCAATACTGCTGTGTGACTGTGGTGCCAGCAGCAGTCTGACACATGGAGCCGATAGCAGGTAATAATTAAAGGTACTTAAACTAAACCGTAAACAGATTTAATATGTACACGTCAGAAAGAATCAGAAGGCAGAATCTGACTCGGTAAAATAATAAAAATCATGACAGTTATTCGCAGGGAATATTTTTTTCCAACCCTCACATGTCTGACACGACAGAAGCAGCCTGCTGATCTGAGCCGATCTTCATTCTGATCCTCTAAACAATCACTAAAGACATCTATTTGTGGTTTTTGACACGAATAGCAAACACGAGTTTAAAATGAAGTGCTCTTTTATTTGGCTTTCCATCTTGACTTTGAGAGGCTGGCCCACCCACGAATACGATGCCCCACAGCTACATCTTCAGACCTTTGTGACTAAACCCAAGGCCACAGAGGAGGAGCAAACACACAAACACATCTCCTCCTTGTGACCTTTAGGCAAGAGCCCACCTGTTTAAAAACGGTCTGAAACCATAAAGTGTACTGACTACTCATTTGGTTTTGTCCGGCTTTGGAAGACGTCTAATTGAAAAAAACGAAAACAATTTTTAATATGGAGAAACTGTCATACAAAGTCTTTTTTTTTTTGACAAAATATTTTCCACAATCCTTGAATATTCCCTACAAATATATTCTGAGAGAATAATAATCCTAAATACAAACTATTATTTTCACATATAGATCAAATTGTAAAAAAAAAAAAAAACAATTGTCAGTTTTGTTTCATTTTAATGAAAAAACAAATGCATCAGAAATAATAGTCAAATAAAACCACCCAACCTCTAATAGTACAAAGCTACTTGAAAGGATAGTTCAGTTTCTTGAAGGAAGGTTTTGTAAAAAGGTTGTGAACAGTAATTATCTTACCCGTTGAGGATAGCATTTTGAACAACCTTGGTTTGAAGAAAGCATGTTTAACTGAATTGGTGGGTCTATGAGACCAAACCCAAAGTGGATTACAGCCATCCTAAAATCAAGTCTTGGAAATGTATGCAAAGACTATTTCATATACACTTACAATGCCACTTTAACATTAAACAGTTATTACAGCAGAAAAATCATGATATTCCTGCTGGAAGTGTCCCAGGCAAGTGCTACAGCTAACTGCTGCTGCTATTGCACTTGAAATAAACCACATAATTCATAATAATAACCATGTAATGTAAAATCCATGACAATGTAAAGGTTTAAAAAATAGTTTTAAATCGGAGTTGTTTTAAGGCAGCAGCAATGCACTTAATACAGACTTCTGCTCAGATTAGCTGTTAGCTTCTCAAATCTGTCTCATCTAATATCCAAATTTTATTCTCCAATCTGAGGCCATTCAAAGAACCAGCTATAACAAGTCAGATATTATCTGTTTATAACCTTTCCACAGTAGCACATTTCAAAAGATCCAAACTGTGGCTTTAATTTAATCAGCTACTCACTCAGTCTTAAAGAGAAAGCAACATAAATCAGAGAAATTGCACTTCCTGCAAAAATGCAGTGTGAATACTTTTGCAGAAGAACTTGCTGAAAAACAGCTGAAATTTGCTCAAAAAACATGCTGAAATAAAAAAAAAAAGCCTAAGTAAGCAGAAGAAAGCAGAGAGAACACATGTTTGCTGAATTAGGTTGAAATAAGCAGAAATGAGCAGAAAGAAGTTAGAAGCACAAAAATGTTGTAGTTAGCAAAACGATCCTGAAAGGAGCAAAAACCAGCTGAAAGAACAGCTGAAATTAGCTAAAGTAGCTGGAAAAATAAGTTTAAATTTGCACAAGGAAGCTGAAAGAAGCAAAACAACAACAAAATGTATAAGGAGCAGTAAAAGGTTGTAAACAGACCTAAAGATTTGAAGGATGTAAAATGAGCTCAATTAATTTTCTATGAGGAAAAAAAAATGGCAGAAAAGGCTAAACGTTTCAAAAAGCTAAAGTTGCACCAACACCAAAAATAGCACCCTTTTCCTGAACGAGCTGAACGTTTTGATTTATGATTTTTTTAAATAGCACAAAAATTGTGGAACGAGAAATATGGTGAAAAATGCAATTATATAAACATCTTCGGCATTCTCCAGAAACAATTCGAAAAGGCACATCAGCTCCCAAATTCCCCAGAGATCCATGATGTATCCTGCCGCGTGCATCTCAGCGGGGCATGAGGGCTCTCCAGAGCTCTGTTGCTTTGTTGAAAATGTTTTATTGATTGCGTTGAAAGTCCAGCTGACCAGATCTATGACAGGAGTTTTTTGTTTCGGACGATGTGTAAGTAGGAGCTCCGATACACAAGACGGAGAGCAAAACAGCAGGAGGAGGACGGGAGAGGGAAGAAAATGTGTCCGCCTTGCACAAGAGCAAGTGAGGAAAAAGCCGCTGTGTATCATCAAAATGCTGTAATTTGATTATCACGACCTAATAATCCCAGAAAGTTGAATCAAATGCAAGTCTTCTTTTTTGATTCTTGAAGATGTATTCATTTTATGGGAGCAACTTTCACAAAGAACTGAAATGTCTCCCAGAATCAAAAAGTAGCTCAGATGCCTTTGATTCAACTTAGGAGGATGACAGTGCAAACAACACAAGAAGAAGGAAACTATCTGGCTGTGCAAACACACAAATGAGGGGCTATTCAGGTACAGATGTGTCCGTCAAGCAACCGCAAATATGCACAAACTCAACCAGACAAATAGCCTCTTTAGCTGATAAAAATAACACATATAAGAAACACACAACACCTAAACTCATAAACGCACAGATGGGAGGCCCTGGGTAACGCGTACGGATGTGTGCGTGTGTGTGTGTTTGTGTGTGTGCTTTAGGCAGCAGCTGTTTAATCAAAGAGGCGGAGCCTCGTTCTCAAGCTGCTGTTAATGAGTTTTCACCGCACGTCTGCTGCGCGAAACTTTCACATGATGTACGCAAACACACACAGACGCTGGGAATGTTCACTCGCTGCGCTCATCAAACACACAGCGCTGCCAGGGCTGCTGTTCCCAGTCACCCATGGTTACTAATGTCAAAGCCCTGACACGAATGGCAGCGTGAGACTGCAGCATCTTCATCAAGGATGTGTCACACTGGAAACTACTGGATGGTGTGGACCTCCATTACTTTCAAAAGACAACCAAAACTCTGAAAAAGTTGGAATGTTGTGTAAAATGTAAATAACAACAGACTGCAATGACATGAATGTCTCAAACACACATTTAATTTGCAATTAAACATATGAGCTGTTAAACTATTAAACTACATCACAGAGGACACAAAGATCAATCCTGACCATAACTTTGTCCTTTGAGCTCAGAGATTTCTTCAGAGTCTTGAAATCGTTTATTGTTGTGTTTTGAT